CCCTACTTTGGTCCTCTCAGGAGCACCTTCGGTTCACCGGTTGACCTCACTGACCCTCACAGACAGAGCTCTGCTGCCTTCTGCAGTGACTGGCTAAAAGCTCCAGATGGGTGGCCATCGCTTCGTGTTCTGTTTTCTTTTTAACCAGTTCTATGGTTGGACAACTACTACAACATGGTTATACATGCAGGTTCCTCCCCAGTTTTTGTTGTTGTTATGAATATAGGCAGCAGAACGTGTGGCAATCCACCGATTGCTATATGTACAGTCTGTTGACCCCGACAACATTCCTCAAGTTTTGCAACCATCCTCACCCTATCTCCGGATTGTTCCTCTCCTGTGACCATAAGCTCTACTCCCTAGGTTTCCTATCTCAGTCTCTGTTTCTCATCACTTTAAACCACACTGGAATAGTGTCTTGCTAAATCTTGGGACTTGTATTAAGGTGGTGTTATTGGCTCCCTTAGGATGCTGAGAGGCAAGCCCAGAGCAGCAGGGAACCCAGCTCACCACCATGGGGGACGCGTCCCTCCCATCCCCCTCCTCCCCCTCCTCCTCCTTCTCCTCTCCCTCCTCTTCTTTTCCTTCCCCTTCCTTCTCCTGCTCTTCCCATTACTCCCCTCCCCTTTTCCTCCCCTTCCCCTCTTCCCATCATCTCCTCCTTCCTCCTCCTCCCCCACCCCTTGGACCCTGTGGTTGGCCTGTTTCCGGAGGGGGAGGGTCCTCCACTCCTTCCTGCTCTACTCTGCCATGTCTCAGCCCTGTGAAAGTGTCAGTGAGCCCGTCTGCAAAATGCACACGTGTCCAGGAAGCATTTGGGGGCCTGGCAGAGATGTGGGCCCACCTTGCAGACTCTCTTGGCCTCATTAATCCATTATAATCAGGGCATCAAAGTGGATTAGAAACACCACTCAACATGGGGCTCAAATCCTGGCTCTGCCACTCCCCAGCCTCCAGGCCTACAGCGTCCAGGAACCCCAGCTGAAACCACGTACTCAGATGAGAAGCTTGGGCACACGTGCACACGTAGGCACCCACACATGTACACACATGCACAGCACCACACCTGCACCTTCATGTGCATCTCCACACACATGCAACCCTATGGCATGCCCTTGCACATATATGCATGTGCACATAAGCACACACATGCCTTTGTGCACATACCTGTGTACACACACGCTTGTGCGCTCTCATGTCCAAGCTCTGTGGACACACAAACTCAAGCCCATGTCCTTGTACATAGGCACACACGCACACACACACACAGAGCTTGTACCTGCAGCATGCCAACAACTGCAGCCTGGGAGAACCAGGAGTGGGAGATGCCCACTCTCATGTTAGGACTATACATACCCTGGAGCGGCCTCGTCGAGATCCAAGAGAGATGCTGAGTTCTGGGAGGCATGATCCAAACATGGGACGAATTTTCCATGGATGCATCCTCTGGGTGTTCACGAGGGAAGAGGGATGGGAATATGGAGCAATGGGAATGGGCTGTGGACAGGACAAAGCAGGTGCTCGGGGGCCTGGGAGACCGCCTGGCTGGGGAGCTGTGGGCTGATCTGGGCATCACCTTCCAGAACCTCCAGCTGCTCCTCTGTGAAATGGGTTCACAGCAGCATTCCACCCAATGATGGTGAGGATGGAGGAGCACATGGTGACGACCTACGACCAAGTCAGGGAATCTATGTCCTGCGTCCAGTCCACATCCCCAGCTCCCCATGCACACACACACACCAGCTCCTTGCAGAGTGACTTGGGGAGATGTGGGGCTGCCCCTGCCCAAATGTGAGCTATTTCAATTCCCCAGGTGCCTACTGGGCCTCAGGGGCTGTGGAAGAAACCCCACCCCCCACCCTCTACCTCACCTGTGTAGGGCCCTGCAGGTATGGCATCTGTGGTACTAGGTAGACTCAGGTGGGGAGGCAGTTCCAAAGGAAGGCTGGAGAGGGAAGAGGGAGGGTGGGGAGGGGTGCTTGAGTCTCCTCATCCACAATCATTTTCTTCAAGTGTCATCAGAGGAGAGTGCTTGCTAAA